CATCACCTCACATTTGGAATACTTCAATAGCTTTCTAGCTTATGTGCTTGCCTTAAATCTTTCCCTCCATCTGGGCATTATTTGTGTATAACTTTCTTGCCAATTCAATTTAACAAACATCTATTAAATGTCTATTTTATTCAGAGCTCTGTGTACTTGCTGGAGAAAACACAAAGTTTAAGTAAGACTAGATGATCCTTGCTCTTAAGTATACCACAGTCTGATAAGGGTGTAAAATAGAGCAGATAACTATAATACATGTGAAGTACTTTGGAAAAGTGTGAACAAAGGGCCATTTTAGGTTTGAGGGGGAAAGAATATTACTACTGAAGGTGAGGGATGAAAGAAGACTTCATGGAAGGGGTGGGTATTATTAGATTTGGGCTATGAAGTTTGGGTAGGAATTCAAAGGGCAAAGAAGGGCATATAAGTCATAGAAGTCATTCCCTTTATAAAAAAAAAAATATGAGTAAAGGTAGTTGTTGCAGTGTAGAGTACTCAAAGAGACACAGTAAAGGTCAGCTAGGCTACAAAAGCAAGGAAACACCAGACTACGGAAAATATTGATTGCTAGGCAAAGGAGTTTAAATTTAATTTGGTATGAACAAATGAAAGAATGAATGAATGAAAAATCATTTCTTCAGTACTTACTATGTGAAAAGCACTATGCTAAGCACTGTGGACACAAATAGAAAAGCAAGATACAGACCCTGCTTTCAGGGAGCTCATGTTGGAGTAGGGGGAGACAACACGTATCAGATTTTTTTAACAGCAAGTCAGATGGAAGAGCCCTATAGTTATCCTTAGAGTGCAGTAGCAAAGCACATGGTAATGAATATTCCTTAATTCATTTCCATTGATCAAACTATTTGTATTTCTGCTGTTGTGCCATGTGTTGTGAAGGGTTTTAGTAGTAAAGACTTTCTTTTCTGAATCTTCAGGGGTTGTGGCTGCTGAGGAGGAGGCACCATAGTACCTGCAGAAAACAATCAATAGATCTCATCTTTACAAGATTTGCTCCCCAAGATGATGGCTGTGGGGCCAAGATGACTGTAGGATTGGTGCTCTGGGTGGGGGGATACTTCTATTTGTAAGATTCTTGGGCTAACTTGACTATTGCTAGCATTTGTGTGGTGGCTGGTGTTGGTGGTGTTGAGGATGCCTTAGTATTGTACAGGACCACTAAAGATTTTTGAGCAGCAGAATGATGTGACCAAATCAATGCATAAGAAAATTAGCTTGCAATGAGGTGGGAAGTGGAAGACAGGAAATTGGAAGCACTATTTAGGAGGATGTTTTGATAGTAGAGGCAGTTAGTAACGCGATTAAGAGTAGTAAAAACACATAAAGGGGACTGATATGAAAAATATTGGCAGAATTCATTAACTTATTAGAGGTGATGAGAAGTCAAAGATAGCACCAAGATTGCGGACATGTGGAACTTTGGTGAATGGTAGTACTATTGCTGTATATAGTGAAATCAAAAGAAGTTTTTTTTTTGTGTGTGTGTGTGTGTGTGTATGTATGTGTGTGAGAGAGAGAGACACACACACACACACACACAGAAGAGAGAGAGAGAGAGAGAGAGAGAGAGAGAGAGAGAGAGAGAAATTGAGAACTAAAAAATACAGAGAAATAAGGACAAAGGCAAAAGACAACAGGTTTGGAGGAATGCATAAGAGCTTTAAAAATATGAATAGTTGAAGATAGAATATGAAGAGACTCTAAAAAGTATAGTTTTTCCATTAAACACATTGGAAAAAAATTTGAGTACTAAAATTCTGGAAATAAAAGAGGAAAATTGTGTAGTGATATTGGAAGCAGACAGCAAAATGTAGATTGAGAAGGATCCATAGACTACCAACAAAAAAGTAATTCAAAATTTAACTTTCCTAGAAAGTCATAAAATTTCAGAATTGCAACATCAAAGAACAAATATTGCAGGCAGTCAAGGACAAAAATATTTCCTTCTTTCCAAGGAAAAATATTTTTAAAAATGGAATATATTATTCTGAAAAACAAATATTGGTTTGAATAGCATATGTTGCAAAACTGAGCCTGATAATTAATTTAAAAAATTGGACTTTGAAGGTGAAGTAGTTGAGTCATTCCTTCAAAAGGAAACAGAAGTGAGTAGTATATACAAGGGGCAAATATCAAACTGAAGAAAAACAGAAAGATTTAGCTAATAATGAAAGACTAAGAAATGAAATGAATATCTTCGTGCATCAAAGGTTTTTTTGAAAGCAAATTTATTACAGTTTAAAATTACCACATTTATTCCAGAGTTGTACACAACGTAATATTATTTCAGATCCCATGACAAATAAAAATTGCCACTGTTTGATGACAATATAGACTAGGTCCTTTGTTAAACAAAAATTAGGTCTATTGTTGGTTATTAAAAGAGATTCACCATTTTTACTAGACAGATTACAGATTGTTTCTATCATCTCTACAACACAAGTTAATAGAAAATTTGAAGATTCTACAAGGACTTTCTGTAGATCCTATAGTGTAGAAACATGTCTTCATGATAACAGTGATAGAATGCTAACCTACTCCCTACCACTTCTGGGAGAACATAAGTTTGTGGAGAATGTTTTAAATCAGAAATGTTAGAACCTTTGCTGGGCTGCCCATTTGGGGAAATTAGAAGGTCTTTTTTGTTTTTGTTTTGTGTGTGTGTGTGTGTGTGTGTGTGTGTGTGTGTGAGAGAGAGAGAGAGAGAGAGAGAGAGAGAGAGAGAGAGAGAGATCAGGGATACAGATATACACCTATACCTGTTCCTATATACGCGTGTGTGTGTGTATTACATATATAATATATATACATGTGTGTATGGATATACACATATACACACAAATGTGTAATTCATCTGTATACAAGTGACAGATGAAGCTATGGTAATGAATGAGATTATAGAGAGAACTGTTAGAAAGAGAAGAGAACAGAAGAGGTATTAGGATAGAATTTTGTAGAACAATTGCCCTTAAGGCACCTTAAGAGGCCAGAAAAAGGAAAAAAAGATAATGAAAGAAATGGAGATGGAGTGGTTATGTCATGAGGACTTGGGTTTGAATCTTAGTTTTGCCACTAACTCCCTGTGTGATCCTGGATAAATCATTTATTCCCTCTGGATCTCAGTGTCTTCATCAATAAAATGATATTGGTTTAGGAGTGTTATAAGATCTATGATCTTAGGACTTTGGGGAAATCAATTTAACATCAACTCTACAAACAAAATTTTATATATATATATATATATATATAAACACACATACACACACACACACACATATATATATATATATATATATGTTACTATTACATAGTGTGTGAATAATATGAATCCTGTGAAGTGGTAGCACATACTTGAATTTGCACTCTTTATGGTATAATTTTGTAAAATATGATAATTGGTTCCAGACCAATGGAAATCGGCAGTGAGAATTTCAATAATGCAACCACGTAATGGGCTTCACCACTTGCATTAATTGGGACCTAGATGTATTTCTGTATCTTGTGCAATGGTAAAAGAAATAGCAAGCTAGATACTTAGGAAATTCTCAGGGTGACTGATTGGTTTGATTTTATTTTCGTTCTCAAGGGGTGACACCTCTAGATTGTGGCTGCTTGATTTTAGGGTCTCAGTGGAAAGAAAAGATCACTATAGGTTTATGTTTTGGACCATGGTACTGACCTAGTGAAAATAATTCTGATACAGAGATTTGACACATGTGTACTGTTCAAGCGATGACATTTAAAAGATGTATACTCCATTGGAGAGAAGAGCTAACACTACTCCTTTTTTGAGTTCATTTAATATCACTAGCTAGTTTAAAAATGATTTGTGTTTGATAAATTTTTTGTTAAACACTTTCCCTCTTCATTTAAAAAAAGTAGCATAAGGGAAATTTCATTCATAGATACTTGTTTCTAGTATGCTTCCTGCATCACAATATTACTTATGAAGATTCATGTAATATTCAGAAACTTCTGAGCTCATATAATAAAGTTTTGAAGGTTCTTTCTCCAGGAAATCATGTTTTCATTCAGGATAGTCTCCCTTGTGAACCAAAAGTTTGGGTTCCATTCAAGACAGCTACTTTTAAGAGAGGGGAGTCTAAATTAGTTCATTCATTTCTTGCATTATTTCTGTCTGTAGGTGCACAAAGGGTACAACCAGAAACATTTTGAGATTGGGAATGGCTTTAAGTAACCTATTTCTCTTTCACTCATCAGTTACAAGGTCCTTTGTAACTAGTGTAAATATTTCACATCGCATACTACGTACTGTAATATGTTTTATTCTGCTTATATGTCTATGCTGTCTCTATGCATGCAGGGATCCATAGTATACAGAAAACGATGTGAAATACCTACAGGAAGAATACATAGAATGTACACAAAATGATATTTTGTTTGGGGTTTCTTTTGTATATGAATATTTGAATATGAATATGATACATAGTGAAGTGTAAAATTTATTTTAAAATTAAAATGCTTCCAAATGATAATAAAACATGTGTTAAATGAAAGAGTTTGGGGAACTAAGGAATGTACTGATTGCCTAAGAAGAAAGTAAACTAGAAAGAATGCATTAAAACTCACATCCTTAATTAAATTGTTGCAGTGAAAGGTGACACACATTATTTAGAATTGCAAAATATCTTCATTTTAAAACATTCATATAATATCTCATATGCTATTACTGTATGAGATGTAAAATAGAGATTTTTAGGATGAAATGTCTTTATTTTAAAATTTAATTTAATGTATTCTAATGCGTTAAAGGGAACAAGCCAAGTTTCACATATCTGCACGATAAGTCCTCATTGTTCATCCAAGTTGTTCTAAGGCAATGAAATCATATTATCTCTCTCACCTCCTCAATGAATTATATAAAATGCATTATTCTTTTGACAGCCATCGAATTGTTCTATAAGGGTATTAGTTTTCAGGGTTTGTACTAATACATAGCTATGTCTGTATTTCAGAATTACATGACCTGAGTAAAGGATTGTGACCTAAAACTTATAGGGTAAGTATAAGAGGGTCAAACTCCCTCGGAGAGACTCTGGCTGCTTTTTGCCAGTGACTTGTGGGATCACCTGCACTTTTTACATGTTTTTTTTTAGAAGGGGGGGTAATAACAGTGGCCAGTCACTGCCAAAAAAGATGTCTCCTGTGGTCTGCTATCATAGGAATTTTCCAGCCTAGCTTTTTGGAGGTCTGTTAACCCTGAATAAGGCAGTAGAATGCTGAAGTTGCCTCTGATTTTTAAATCCTAGTTTTACTTCTGCTGCTATAGAGGAATAACTTAGCAAGAGGATTTTTCCATGCATGCCTTTAAAAAATGCAGTTTTTTAAAAAGAAAATGATCTAATGTCTATTTATACAACTGAGCATAATTGTTCCTGTGGACATGTTACAACCTGCCAGGTAAATAGCAGTACTTAAAAAGTCCCGTCTGTGCACTAACAAGAAAAATCCCAAATCTACAATTATTGTAGTTGGATCAACGATATATGTTTTAGAGTCCTTGATGAGCATTTGCATAATCTGAATTTCAAAAAGTCCATAAATGTGTAGTTGCACATCTTTAGAAGCCTTCCAATTTATCTGGCCATCTCCTTTACACTTCTATGAGGAACTTCTTCCTTCTTCTTCTTCTTCTTTTTTTTTTTCCTTAAGGGAAGGGGGAACTGTTATAAAAGGAAATTAACAACTTTTAAATAATACTCTTGCATGAATCCACGAAAACATGGAAACTCAAAGTGAAGGCTAACACTTAATTCCTCACTTTTTTTCTGCTGTTCTTATGTGTTGCAGTGATCTCAGATCAGTATGGTATATACCATATGGGCTGCAATCACTAGGTATGTTGGAACAAGTTAAGGATGGAGTGTCAGTTTAGCATTTATGTTGTCCCTCCTCTCCCTTCCCTTCTCAACTCAGCATTAAATCAGGTACCCAGCCTGCACTTTCCTATTGTACCTTTTTGTGGTCTTGTTATTATATTACATTGGCTTGGTCGCAGAAACCGATAGCTTGAAAGTCCTATCTAGAAAGCAAAATAAAACTCATTCAGCCAGTGAGTTAGCATGTTATTACATTACCTGGTTAAACATGTTCAGCTGAATTATTAATTTTCTGTCTTGTTAAGTACTAGATTCATGGGTTTTGCTGTAAGTGAAAATGCATGCAATGTAAAAATATGCTGGAAAACAGTTGTAAAAACCATCATTAGGTTTCAGTATTGCATGACTTCTGTTGAAACAGTGACAAGTTTCTTAAAACAGGATCAGCTGTCATCTTCATAGGACTTATCAAAATAGAATATACAATAAATTGTATGTTTTCAAAATTTAGTTGACAGATAAGGAATTTATGTTGAATAATTAATATCTCACAAATGCAGAGGTCAGAAAAAATTACACACAAACATTGGAGAAATTACTATTCACTTGTCTTATTGAGCCGGGTTAGGATTCCTTTGCTTGCCCCTGCATGACTTAGTGATTGGTATAGTCCACTTTATATTAAGAAGTCATGGTTTCAGTTTGTTAGCATTTACACAGCTTCACCTTATGGTAGCTATGCTGGAAAATGTGTACTGAATGATGGGTGTGGGCATGTGAAGTTTGCGGCATAGGAAGTAATCCTTGATTCTTGTTTCTTTGTTTTGTTCAGTGTTACTATATTCTGTTGTGTAGTTACACTTTTACAACTTGCTACTTGGAAATAACAATAAGAAGAAAATCTGTGTGTTGGAGACATTTTAAATTGGCTGCTTTTGTGCCGACTAGCCTTGGTTCACGTATGAGTCACCAAAATTGAATAGCTGGGGAGAATGACAGAGTAGTACAATCTGACTCTCTGTACTAAGCAGGCTGGTTTCTGGCTTTACTGTTGTTTTCATGTGTTTGAAAAGTTGAACTCTTTGCTTTAAAGCACAAGAAAGCAGAAGGCCAAATTTTTAGTGCCCAGACACTCCAGGAAGACACTAACACGTCCAGTCGGCTGGATGTTTTAGTTTGTAAGAAACCAACTTTCTGAGAGTTTAAATAAACCAATGACAGCTTTCTGGACATCATTTGCATTTTGAAGGCCAGTAAGAGATAGAAAAGAAAGAAAGGGCAGAATTTTTTTTTAAATTCTACTCATTGCTGATTAACAATGTTGTCTTGAAACAACCTTGTATTATTACATAATAAACAACCTAGGATGATGATATAAAATTGCATTTTATGTAATTGGCTATAGGTCTAGTTGTAAGCACAGCAATCACCACTGTTAAGGTTTCTTAGAGGCTTTCCAAATATTTTGCACATAAAACAGTTACAATCTGGTATAATTGGATTGACAAGCAAATCAGAAATACACCCTCACTTGCTCTGACAAATAGCAATGGAGGAATATTAGAAGGTTATATGGTTTCAGTCATAGTAATTGTTTGCCTTTGAGAGCTGCATACAGCATAAGTTGTTAATATTGACCATGGTGGGCTCTGAATAGGAGATGTCTGTTTATGAATGACACATTCTATGATCTCAGTCAACTAGTGTCTTCTGGGTAGTAAATATGTTAAGCACATTGCATACCCGGGATCATTAAAATTTCAGAGTGTTTGATGGCTATTTTCTGATGAAGACCTCTCAGAAGGAACAAAGGCATCCAAATGAGAGAATAAAGAAAAAAGTGTAAATGTTATACGCTGAAGTAATATTGAGAGGGTGGGCAAGTCTCAGAAATGCTCTCTTTATTCAGTCTTTTTTTCTTTACCTAGAACACACATCCCTTAGGAGTTGTCTGGTTAGTACTTATGCTCTTGAAGGGAAATATTTTTGCCTGACATCATTCTGAAGATATAAAAGCATAAACAGCTTGGAATGGAGAGTATAGGAAGTTTTCCAGATGATTAAGACAAAAACATTTCTATTGAAGGGGGAAAAATGCAACTCTGTGCATGGTCTAGACTTCTCTATGACAATCAGCCTTTTTAGATAACTACTTAGTTTTTCAAGTCTCATTTCTTGGAAAGATAGAATACAAATACCTGCCTAAGAGACAATCAATAAATCTATGAGCATTTATTAAGTTTTTACTGTATTTCAGGTATTATGCTAAGTGCTGGGGATACAAAGAAAATGCAGAAATAGTCACTTCCCTTGAGGGATTTGTATTCTAATGGGAAAGACACTATATATATGTATATGTGTGTGTGTGTGTGTGTGTATGTATGTATATATATATGTGTATGTGTATATATATATATATACACATACACATATATATATACACACATATATATGTATATATATACACATATATAATATGTATATATGTATACACACATGTATAAATAAACTGGTACATACAAGATAAATATAGAGTAGAGAGGACGTCATCTGTGAGAAGGCAATAGCAACTGGGAGAGAGAGAAGATTGAAAAAGGATTCCTGTAGGAGGTAGCACTTGGGTTACATCTTAAAGGAAGCAGGGTATTCTAAGAGTAGAGGTTAAGAGGGAGAGCCTAGAGTCCTGAAATCTTTTTCCACCACTAGAACTATTAAGGGGATATTGCCTTTTAATGGTTTAGTAGTAATTGTTATGTAAGCAAATTTGCTTGGTAGTTGATGTAACCGTAATTGTATAGCAATTTGCAACTTAAATGGCTAATAGTCTTATGATGAAACACCCAGTTGCATAGGGTTTTGACCTCTTTGGAGGAAATCCAAGCACAGTTTCATTTATTAATAGTCCCTAATGACCTCTCATCAAGGTATAACCTTTTAGTTAAATAAAACAACTAGATTCTGGCATTGGAGCCTAAATCATGTTTGTTTGTTTTTTCCTAATTGTTCTTCCGTACTGCAAATATTACCCAGTGTTTGATCTGTAGCCACAAAATATCAGAATTAAAAAAATTCAAAGTTAGTATTTGATTAGCTCTTTTACATCTAGAGGAGATAATCAGGAAGTAAAGACTGTGGAAAAAGTAGATGGACGTTCAAAAAAATGTTCTTTTACTACTAGTTCCTCTGGAACCACTGCCATGTCTGTATATTATGGCAGGATTGACTGACCATTTGGTGATTAATAAATTGGCCTGATCTACTCTAATGACAAAGTTATATAGGGATAATTAGATTGAGTGAGTAGCACTGTTAATCAACTGTTATACCTGTAGGAGACTGGCCATTTCTGTCTTTTAGTCACAATCTCTCAGTCTTTGGGAGCTCCAGTACCAGCACAGAGCATTTACTGAGCACCCCCTGTGTGCTTGCTTTGAGGCATGTAAGTTGGAACATTACTATGTTTTCATAAATTCTTTAGTATATGTTTTACAAGAAAAATATGTTTGTCGAGATTTGAAGGGAAAACTCAGAAGTAAAGGTTTTGCAAAACTCCTGAAGACTTTTCCTTCTTTAGTTTGGGTTTTCCAAAAATTAGGTTTCTGCATTTTTCTGCTTAACAGAACAACTCCCCCCATTATACCATTGTTTTTAAGGGAAATTTAATTTTTAAAATATGTTTTATTTCTTCTAACTAAATGGAAGCCTCAGCTATGTAAACAATAATGATTTTTGTTTGAAAGTAATTCTTTCCCTACTTCTAGATCTAGCAGGGGAATAAAATAAAAAAAAACACGTTGAAGCTCAGAACTTCTGTTGTGGCCAGGCCAAATAGAACTTAACAGAGTTTCTGCTCGGTTCTATGGGGAGAACCCATTTTTGGCTGGGTTCTACAGCTGGTTCCCCTCCCCCGTAGTGCAGATATATGATGTTGCAATAATCCAGCACTGTTAAATCAGCAGGGATATCTGTAGCTAATGGTTATGCCTCTCTAGTCCACAGGCTGACTATGTGAATGTGCTATACTGTCATTTCTAATGAGTTTGGATGAGAGAAGCAAGCTCCTGGTCCCCACATGAAGCATCCTGCTTAGATTTCACCATATGAAATGAATATCTTGATTCGTGCTTCAAACTATTGTAGTGCATGACTGCGAAATCCCAGTGAGGGACCAAAGTGTCCCACATATTGTGGCAAATTTCCCATAATGTCCTGCAAATTGCAACAGAATTCGTGGGAAAAGTAGGAGGAAATGATT